AGGATTGAGAGAAGTCTCACTCTATTCAACTGGAAGTCTGCCAGGAACCTAACGAGGCTATACAATGAAACTGAGCAACTGTGTTTAGACACCTCCTAACTCCTAGGCATGGAATTTGGGGTAAATCAATGCCTGTTATGACCAGATAAAATGGCTCAAGAAAGATTCTGTAATCTCTCAGGCCCCTTCATCATGATCATGCCTACAAGCCTTTAGACTATTCTGTGCTCAGTACAGAAAAGAAAGGCTTCATACCAGCCTCCTGAGTTGAAACAGAAAATGGCCCAAAGAATGTGCATTTTTTTAAAAAAAGCTTTTTCAGGATTAGAGTTTGCCTCAACTGATTTACACAGAGGTAAATTAAGGAGAAAATCAGTCTCCAGTGGTGGAAATAGGCACTTGCAGGGGACAAAGGTGCCTTGTTCTGAGGTAAAAGCTTAAAATGGACCTGTGACAAATCACCCATTAGAAGAAAGTATTTCTTTTCATCAGCTGTCACAGGTGCCTCAATAGTCAGTTCAGGTACAGATGTCTATCAGTGTCTAAGATGAGGTGAGATCAGTTGTATCAGGTATCTCCTGGAATATATCTGTTGAAAAGAAAGCACAAGTCCAATGATTGCGTGATTCTGCATACATGCATTATCAGAAGTAGAATTATTACAAACAGTTATTGATAGCACTGGGTCATATACTTCACAGTACAGCACAGCATGGTACAACCTGTACTTTAAGGTGGGACCCGGTTTACCTGGGAATCATCCCTTCCTCATTCTCATCACCTCTATTTGACCCTTCTACCTTTACTTTTCCAAACTTTTTGCAGATCTCCTGTTCTACCCTTTCGCACAGCTCTCTCTGCCTCTACTCCCCCTGGTAATTTCTTTTCAAGTAAACATTCCTTTACTTTTATATTTCTAACAAAAATATGGGTTGCTGTTAGCATGCATTTTCAAAAGAATCTCTCAATCCTGCATACAGGAATTCAAAAGAATCTGCCTTGAGAATGCAGATGGCCAACTCTAAAACATTCTACCAAATTTTAACATTCAGGATGCTTTGTTTTTCCTCTTAAACTGATGTAAATACTAAAACATTTTCCATACTTAAAAAAAAAAAAATCACCACTAATGACAATGCTGTCCCACACACTCAATCATAAAAAGCACATATCACAAGTTCTCAGGCATGGCTGTAATTTCTTATAATGAATTAGATTAAACTGACCTTAATAATATTTTCTGAAGGGAACATTCGCTATCTGAGAAAAATAAAAAGAACTTTGACATTAGCTTTGTCTCAGTCACTGATGCTGCATTGTAAACTACTGTACTAAGCCCTTAGTAGAAATTTGGTGATAGTTGAGTTCAAGAAACCAAAGAAACTGTCCAGACACAGTGGAACTCAGCTTGTTTGGGACAATTCAATGACCATGGGAAAAATTCCAGTCAAGCAAAGAAATTTTTTACCTATCTCTGCAGTCCTTTCCTTGTTTCCATGTTGCACCCACTAGATCTAGGAGGGAATGAAGTATTTGGTATTTCTTCAGCAGCCCTAGAGACATGGTCCTTGTTGCATTGCAGGTACTCTCTAAGATGAAAACACAGAAAAGACACATGGTCAACACCTGAGCTCTGCTGCTACCTCTCCTGAGACATGTTTGAGGAAGCTGAAATGGAAGTTTTGCAGCCAGTTCCCAAGACAAAACTTTTGTCTCTATCCTTTGGCTGTTGAAAGCATGGATCTCCAGGTACTCTAAACCTCTAAACTCTAGAACACTGGGGAGTGAAGTCTGTTAAGGACAAGCATTGCTGTGTCAAACTGCCAAATCCATAGCACATTTAGATTGGAAGGCCCTGTGGGCGATAAGAGGAAGAAGGACATTTAAGGAGCAAAACCCTAATTGTGTCCTTTTGACTTATTAGTTTGCCGTAAAGTGAATACTTTTCAACGTGGCCTGGAACAACCCGCAGGTCCATCCTCTGAATGAGGGAAACAGAGGCTTAGAAATTATATGATTTGTTCCTCCACAGCCAGAGCAATAATGGTTTGATTTTTTTTTTTAAATTCAACTGTGCAGGCTCAAGGCCCTCTGTTCACTCTGGGCCTTGAGCTCATTTACACCCAAATGCTGCTCCCTACTGAGAAAAAAAGTGCTTATGCCATGCAGGTAGCAGTCCCAGCTGTGTGTGGGAGAAGGATTCTTGAGAGGCTGTGGAGAAAAGACTCCCTCTAGTCACTCCATCCTGGCTTAGATCTTTTAATTCTCCAACCAACATGGGGAAATGAGCTCTTTTGAGTTCCTTCTTGCCATTGCCCTCCCCTGCTCTACGCCACTTGCCCTCCTGGACATGTGACAGCCATAACGAATCCTGGTTCCTAGCTCCTCATTATGACATTTTGAGGCTGAGAAGATGAGAGGTGCTTTGAGATGAGTAAAGCAGTGAAGACCGAAGGCCAGCATACCCTTCTACATCCTACCCATCCATGGGCAGGAATCTGTCTGTCAGCAGGCCACAGGGAGTCAGGTCTGAATGCAAGTCAGGCTGTCTGAATGCAAGCGTCAACAGTCTTTCACGCATAGAAGCCATTTAAAGCATTTTTGTTTGTTTCATTGGTTTTGTTTTGTTTGTCTTAGGCACATTTCCTCACTTCCAACTTGGAAACCATTACATTGACTTCCTTTCATACAAACTCACTTGTCTTCCCTGATCTTATCTCTTCTGCTCCAGCTTCTCTTCTCTTCATTGTCACAAGAGAAAGTGCAACTAAGACATGCCAGCACATCTCCTTCTCCCTCTTCTCCATTACAGAATTTCATAGGGTTTGATCTTCTTGAGCAACAACAGCAACAACAGCAACAAGCAAGACACTGGGTTGGGGCTACAATGAGGACAGAGTCAGGCAGGAGAAAGGAGTATTTCCTCTTTCCCACTATTACCTGTTGAGCTGGTAGTTGTCTGATCATCTTCAGTGTTGGCACCTGAGTTGTTTGGCTCTGTCCCCAAAGTATAGATCATCAGTGCAATTTCCACACAGACTTCTACAAAGGAGACTGACTTCCCTTGTGCTCTCATTTGACTCCAGGAAGAAGCCTGTGGTATCAGGCTCTGTTCCTGGCCCAAAATTTTTCATGTAGAAATGAACTGAGCCTGGATTCAAGGTTAAGTTTTTACACTGCCAACGTGGCCAAAGTGTGAGAAATGCGTATTTCCCATGGCCTAATCTCCTGGTGAAATATTTCATTACCACAGGACCTTGGATTCCCATGCTGTGCTGTTCACACAGCCAGGAAACAGGGGGAAGACTGTCCCTTATTCTTTTTTTGAATGCAAGTCATCCTGAAACTGAACACAGAGTTCTTCCTCCAGATCAACAAATCAGGTGCGGACCACTGTTCTTTGGGGAATTCTTGAGAAGGATGGAGGGCAAATGCTGCAACATCTGCCCTGAGAATGGGAACACTAGAAAGAAAGGTCAAGCCAAGGAGCTTTGCCTTGCTTGACTTAACATGGGAGCCCCACAAAGACGGATAGAAATCTCCTTGGAGCACTGAAGTGGGATTAGAAGCTTTCTGTTAGGTCTTGACTAAGACTCAAGCCTTGGCTGGGCTTAAAGGGGCCTGGGGGGGACCTGGGATCATGGGGTGACATTGGAATGAGTGTGCGAGTGCTGTGTGTTTGCAGTGCACACCAAACTGGACCAGCTGGCATATAGGGCACCCATGGGGTGGGTAAGAGGGCTGGGGGGTCAGGTAGGGGTACTGGGCAGCAGACTGGCTGTGCTGGTGCTCAGGGAACCTGTGAATGTGTGTGAGCTTGTGAGCCAAGACGGCGCTGGGTGTGTGCCTCCACTAGTGACTCCTACCTCTGCCAGCCCCAGAGAAGGGGGGACATGGTTGTCTGTGCTTTAGTGTGGTGTGGGTGCTGGTGACAGCTCTGCCTTGCATATGGCAGACTGACCAGTTGCCTCAGTGTCCTTTGTGCCTGTGTCTCTGGGACATGTGCTCAGCTTCATTACTGGTTGAACCTGCAGATGGAAAAGCGGCAGCTGTGTTCCTCGGCCTAGGCAGGGACTTGGGTCCTCAGGCAACTGAGTTGGGCTCTAGTGGCTGGCCAGAAGGGTCCTGGGCCAGGGCTGCAGGAGGAGGTAACCTCTCCTGACACCCTTAA